CTCTACTCTCTCTGTTTCAGACCAATCGAGATCTCTAATGATACAGATAAACACATAATGTAATGACAATAATTAAATAATTTAATCCACGACTTATAGCCATGGAACACAAAATGAGAGTTAGAGAAGATTAGCCAATAGAGCAAAAAGAAAGGGAATATGAGAAAGAGAGACTGAACGGACTTATCGCTTGTGAAAATAATGTCAAAGATGGTGTTGTTTCCGAAAAGGAACATCGGAGATATCTACAGTGATAGTAAGGAATGAGAGAGATGTTTGACGGATGAAGAGAGCTGAGATAGCAGAACAGTATAACAAAATGCGTAATATTCATTTTTCAACAGTTCTATAACATATGTACAAATTGATAAAATCATAACTACGACCAAAGGTTTGTATATGTATGACATATTAATGTGAAAGAGCTAGAGTTTCGAGATAAATGCATTTACTAGATAGAGAAATATCACCAGAATGAATAGTGTTGAAATAGACAGAGAGAATAGTGACGAGTTCAAGGATCTATTGCAGAGACACAAGAGTATAGAGAAGAAGAATCCAGTGAGGAAGAACTATCAACGATGGTCGTTCAACGATTTGAGGAAAATAGAGAAGTCTGATTAAAAAATAGAGAGAGCTCAGGCACAACTAGGACAAATCAAGGGAACGAAAATTGAGTGGAGAAAAAAATGAAGAAAAGTTGGGAAAAAAATTTAGGAGAAAAATTATTTAGTACAACAAAATAAAATCGCATCAGAGATAATTTTTTTCAGCATATTTTTTATTAAAATTTAGTTAAATTATATATATATATATATATGTCTATAAGTGTATATAGATATTTTAAAAAGTATATTGTTTGTATATTATTATTTCTATTATCTTTAATGAAGATACTATGACTAAAAATAAATCTAAAATAGAGATATGTGATCAATTGCAATTGTCACTTAGGGATGACACTTCAAAATTAATTGAGAGAGTTGAGAGTTCAGAGAGAATGAGAGTTTGAGAGACAGATTTGTTTGTGAGAAATAAAATGTGAGAGGGGTGGTATTTATAGAATTTATATATATAAAAATAAAAAATAAATAAAATTGATTGTTGGTGAAATTAACGGTTATATGACTCTTTCAAATTGTTTTGATTTAATTTTTTGATTATTGCACTGACAAGAGGGGCAGTGAGCCATTGAGGTCGAGTCAAGCCGGATGGGAAAGAAAATTTCAGGGCGAGCTCACGAGATGGGTCACACTCCATAACACACCAGGGTCGGGCTGGGCTCTAGAACACATAACTCAGGGTCTTAGGTTGGGTTTAGGCTTGAACCTAGTTGGGCCTACCCAGGGCACGAGTGGACTTGGGGTGTACCGCGAGCTCGTAAGCCAAATTTACACCCCTAGATGTGGGTAGTGGTTATGAGATATATGATTAGTGGTTATGATATATGTGATATTGATTATGAAACAAAGGGTGATGGTTATGAGATGTGGTTATAACATATGCAGGTAAAGGTAATGAGATATATGATTAGTGATTGTGAGATATGTGATTTTGGTTATGAGCTGAGTGGTATAGTTATAAGTCAAAGGGTGTTTGGTTATGAGATATGTGATTGACAGTTATGATATATGTGATGTTGGTTATGAGATTTGTGAGTAATGGTTATGAGTAAAGTGGTGTCAAAGGGTGTTTGGTTATGCTATATGTGTTAGTGGTTATGAGATATGTGGGTAATTGTTATGAGCAAAGTGGTGTCAAAGGGTGTTTGGTTATACTATATGTGTTAGTGGTTATGAGATATGTAGGTAATGGGTATAAGCAAAGTGGTGTCAAAGGGTGTTTGGTTATGCTATATGTGTTAGTGGTTATGAGATATGTGGGTAATTGTTATGAGCAAAGTGGTGTCAAAGGGTGTTTGGTTATGCTATATGTGTTAGTGGTAAAGAGATATGTAGGTAATGGTTATGAGCAAAGTGGTGTCAAAGGGTGTTTGGTTATACTATATGTATTAATGGTTATGAGTTATGAGATATTGGTTATGTGACTAGTGGTTATGAAATATGTGATGTTGGTTATTAGATATGTGACTAGTAATTATGAGATATTTGATGTTGGTTATGAAATATGTGATGTTGGTTATGACTCAAAGAGGCTGGTTATGAGATGTGGTTATGATTCATGTAGTTATGAGATATATGATCAATGGTTATGAGATATATGATGTTGGTTATGATCAAAGTGGTGTGGTTATGAACAAAAATGTGTTAATTATAAGATATGTGATTAGTGATTATGAGATATGTGATGTTGGTTATGACAAAAAAGTGTTGGTTACGAGATATGTGACTAGTGGTTATGAGATATGTGAATTGGTTATGACTAAAGGGGCTGGTTATGAGATGCGATTATGATTTATGTGGGTAGTAGTTATCAGATATGTGATCAATGGTTATGAGATATGTGATATTTGTTATGATCAAAGTGGTGTTGGTTATGAGATATGTGATTATGATTATAAAATATGTGATATTAGTTATGAACAAAATGATGTTGGTTATGAGATATCGTTATGAAATATATGATATTAGTTATGAACAAAATGGTGTTGGTTATGAGATGTGGTTATAACTAAGTTATAATCAATTTGATTATAGTTATGAAGAAGAAAAATGACTTAGACCCCCAGCTGGGGGTGCTGGGGGTCGTCCCTGATTGGTGCAAAAACTGTTTTCTTTTTTTTTTTTTTTTTTTGGATTTCGGCCAATCATACACTGCCACGTCACTGGGGGTGGCACTGGGGGTCATCCGTACTGGGGGTCCGTAGCATTGTTGTATGAAGAAATATGATTTTAGCTCATAACTATAAAAAGTGACATGTTTGGCAGGTCACTTTTAATGATGTGGCTCAATCCTAGCCATTGATTTTTTATATACCATACATTTTTTGAACAAAATGTACTATAGACTTTCCCTATATGTGATTATATTTGTAGAATTAATGTATTAATGGTTAGATCAGTGACAGTGGTAATAACAACGGTAGGATTAAAGAATTTTTTGGAGAGTGTGTTATAATCCACTTTTTAAATTATAACACATTTTTCTTTCTCACAAAAAGCTAATTATAATCTGTTTTTAATCAATTTTTAACCAAAAAATTGATTGTAACCATCTTTTCAAAATAACGCTAAAGAGAGATGGAAGTGGAGATATTGGGATTGGTGCGGCGGCAGAGGCTGTGGCGGCGGCAGTACTTGTGTGACGGTGGTGGTTGTAATGAGGTAAAGACGATAGTGGTATATCGAAACCACTAGATAATTTCAGGTGTGTGACGCTTTCCCTGTTCTCTACTGTTGCTAGTCTTCCCTTCCCTTAAACATTGCTTCACTTCAACTGCCCCCAACCAAGGATCTCTCTCTCCCTGTTCTCTACTGTCGTTATTGTATTTAACATTTTGAAGAGTATATACAAACAGAGACAGGGCTTCGATTAACAAACGACACACAAGGTAAGGTTCTCGAGAAAATCTAGCAGAAACCCAATCCACAATCTTTATCTCATATGGGTTGTCTTGATTTTGAAATTTGATTCATGGTTATTTGTTATTTGTGTATGATCAGGTGAAAGAACAGCATGGGTCATCACCATCATCATCATCATCATGAAAGGATTAGCCCATATGATGATCCATTCATGGCTTGCTGTTGCTGCCCTTGTAACCTGGTCTCCTTCATCAGGAGAGGGATTGGGAGGTGCATATCTGTGACTTGTTACCCACTCATGCATTGCTTTTGGATGGGATGATGAACATACACACCACCATCACCACCACCATGGCCATTTCTCTTGATCCTCATTTCATTTCTCACATTATTCAACCTCTGAACATTTTATTCAACTCTTGTTTTCATGTTTGGAGATTTAGTAGTTGGTTTTTTATTTTATTTTTTTATTTATGGAATTTTAAGGTTGCAATGTATGGTGTTATAGTTCTGTACATTGGGATAATGTGGATCTTACAAAAATGTTTAAGAGCTCTAAATTAGGAGTTTTGGAGGAGCTCTAATTTGTCTTTTTTCTCATGATGATTTGTCTTTTTCCTTTTTTTTTCTTTTTTTTAAAATTTTTGCCCCCGCCAACTGTGTGGAGCTCAATTTAGAGCTCTACACCTAGTGCTCTCTATCATAGCCGGTGGATCTTAATAAAAACTAATCACTAACTACTTGACTCGAATTTCATAGCAAGAGTATTTTTAGTATTTCATAGTTCTATTTTGTTGCCTTAGCACTATGTGTTTTACAATTGAAGTCCGCATTTTTATGTCGTATTATAACTCTTTTACGTTATAATGAAATCACAACAGTTGTAAACGTAATATGTTTTTATAGCTGAATAATGTAAATTTTTATGTTTTTTTATGTGCTTAATTTAGATTCTTGTCCTTATTCATGTTTATGTTTCATGTCACACTTACCATGATTAAGTGTATCAATTTCTAAGACTATTGATCATCTGGTCTACTGAACAGAGAAAAGAGCAGAAACCACTTGCTGCCATAATTGACAAAGTTCCAAAGTGTTTTTGATGTTTTCAGAAACTTGAAAATACAAATTTTATTTTCGTGGTTATGCACTTTAGTGAATGAGAATTTTGTTTTAGGCAGCTACACACTTGTTATGACTTAAATTAGAGTTTTGTAGATACAGTTAGGGAGGTAAGAAAAACTGAAAAAACCGACCAAACTGATTGAACCAAACCAAACCGCTATATTTGGTTTGTTTTTTAACAAGAATCGGTTTGTGCGGTTTTTAAATTTAATTTTTTTCGGTGTTCGGTTCGGTATCGGTTTAAGAATCTTATGCACCGATCTAAACCGAAATCGACCGCTTCAACATATATTGTATATATATATATATATATAATCTAATAATATAACGATATTAATAAGTATAATAAATTATTAACCTTAATTAATTAACATTATCATCTTTATAACCTAAGTTTGTAACCTCTTATTATATAAAATCTTAACTCCAACTCATTATTCTTGAAACTTTAGTATTTTTAAACTTTTTTTTGTTTTTATTTTTGTTAATTTAGAAATTGAAATGTATTAAATGGATGGATTGGATATGTTTGAATGGTAGACAAATAACTAATTTAATATTTTTATATAGATTAATGATTATATTTAAAAGTGACTCAAGTTTGAAGAAAATCCTTCAAATCCGATTAAATCGCCACCAAAACTGAATCCGTTTACACAATTGGTTCGGTTATTCGGTGCGGTTTGATGGGAGAAGTAAGTCTGTATCGGTATTCAAAATAATAAACCAGATCATTATCGGTTCGGTATAATTTTTTTTACTATATACCGACCGTACCGAACCAATTACATCCCTAGATACAGTGTTTGATGTTTTTATCTTTACATTTTGCACATGAAATTATAATTCTTCAGTCTCTCCATATTTTATGATTCTGTTTTTTATGAGCATTTGATTCAATGTCGGATTTATGTTTTTGTTCTACTAGTGCTTGAGAAATTGTGTTTTTGTTGAATAGTGTTTGATCCACGTAGTTAACTTGTTCAAAATGTATGAGAAGATTGAAGGGAAAATTTTATTTGTTTTCACAAAACAAAATGAGAAAAGATTACAGACACTATTCTTCTCACATATTCTACCGCCTACTCACAATAGCGTCCATAGGACTAACAAAATTAAAGTGTTGCAGCTTTGCCACGATGTTTGTGAGGTTACCCAATAACTATCACTGGATGATATTTTCTGGGAGCAAAAGCTTAAAAAATGAAAATTTAGTTCACCCCTGTGAGATCTACAATAGTGTACCTAGGGTGTCTTTAGAATATACCAATTAGTACAGCTATCCCTCTTCTGATATAGCAACGCAATTTCAATCAATATAGAAAAGACAACATTTCTTTCTTCATTTCTTGTTGTTTGTCAATGCAGAACGATTTGCCATTTAATAGAAAAATTTCTCAAATTCATGTAGTATCGGCTTTTCTTTCAAATTATACTAGTTTCGGACTAGAAACTGAGGATCTGAATAAATGTAAGTCTGACGAGTTGGGTTCTAGTAATTATATGAAAGAGATTATCAGTATTCTCATAATTCAATTAGATACAATATCTAGAAATCTCTTTTTGCATGGTTGTGGAAAGTTTTTATTTTTTTTTTTGTTTTGAATCCTTTCTTTTAAGGGTATTGGTTGGATGTACAGTAACAAGTACTAGAGTGGTACATGATTCTTTCTTACCACTATATATTTGTGTACATACTTGTTCTTGAATAGCTGATCAATAAATAATAAATTACTTGCACTTGAGTAAAAAGGTATTCACAACACTACATTCATGTGAAGCAAGAACATTTCTAGGATTTATTTAAGAAAACACCAACCAGATAATAAAGGAAGAAAAAAAAAAATCTCAAAGGACAAAATTAATTGAAACTACTAGCTAACTTTGTGTAGAGGTAGTGACTAATGATCAACACAAAAGAAATTGTCCAGCTGAGGAAATCTATCTAATGACAAAATTGGTGTATTTGAAAGTCTATGATGAACTCAATTCAGTATCCGGTTCACCCAGTCAAGAAGATCTTCTCCGATGATGTTCTAATCCTCTTTTGACAATGTTCTTTTTTAGCTTCTTTTTATGCCATCAGTTGACATCTCATCTTCTTTACGTCTGATTGTTTTTGAGAGGCTTTAACTGAACTTTGAGCTCCTTCCTCTAAGCAACTGTTCATGTAGGGGGATGTGTTTTAAAAAATAAAAATGACTACAGGCAAAAGAGAAATGGAAAAGGGTTTTGAGAAAAACGAAATCGTTTATCAAATACTTGTTAATTCGTGTTGGGATGTTCTCGCGGATGACATTATGAACAACTGGAACTTCCTTCATAACATTCGATTCCTGCATCACGAAAACATGTACTTTTCAGCATAATTCACTAAATATCAATCTTTAAGCTTTTATTGTAAAAATTGACGATTTAATTTCACTAAGTATATTTTATTACCTTAACTTTCTTTAGTAGTCATAACCAGTCATTCCTGGCATAACAATATCTGGTAATTATCAAATTCACCTTAAAGCCTGGAAAAAAAATTACAGAGTAATCTCAAGAGGGAAGCTTATAGAAAATCATTGTAACATCAAATCCAAACCGAGGATCTCACTGAGTAAAACCCACAACGCAGTTTGAAACAATTTGTTAACTACATATTGTTTTAGAGTGTATATGCATTAAATCTTGGGTTTCTTGGCAATAACATGTTAAAATCAGTACACCGGATTGTTGAAAAGGTCCCTTTACACTGGTCCTCCAAGCTGTTGTTTTGATTGTCTCCAATCCCAAATACTCCAAAGCTCTCAACCCATTTTCTTGCAGTAGTCTTCACTTGCAGCAAGTTCAATTCAGAAATTAGTTAGCTGCTAAACATATATTTAATCAAGAACATCAATGTTGAGCAATTGAGTCGTAATCTACAGGTTTCGTTTGCCACCACTATAAGCTCATTTTTGCTTAAAAAAAGCTTTAGGTTGGAATTAATGATTCTCAAACGGAAAGGCAAAAAAAAAAACTTGTAGAAAAGCAAAAATAAATAAATAATAATTAT